TCTGCACGATGATGTGCAGACCTCCCCGACCCTGCCGCAACTTTCGGTACATGGGAGACGTTCGTGCAACGCAGCCAACCAGCTTGGAAACGGGCTATTCAGATAGGGGTCTACGCACATACACAGCATGCGGCACGACTCACACTTGCCCAACGCGTGGAGCGACAGTTCTTTGCTGACGCAACCGCTGCGGGTGTACCGGCCAGGGTCTACACCGACGCGCAGGGCATGGTCGTGCCGCCACCGCTAGCGCTCGTACCCACTACACACACCTGCCCCTGGTGCGGGCTCCAGTACCAGCGCCACCGCGCACTGCGTATTCACATCGCACGCAACCACCGCCAACTTACTACACTGGAGCGAGGATGCACATCACCGACAGGCACCTGCACGGCATGCCCTACTACGCCCGACCCCACCTCATCGATCACCAATCGATCGATTCACAACGTTGCTTGCTCGTAGGCATATCAGCTAACGATAACACAGCCTACCACATCAAGCATCCCATCGACCCCGCGCCACAACCTCTTGGCACCGCGCCGCAGGTCCACATTCCTCGACGGCATGTGGTTGTGCCCACACTACGTGCCCAAGGCGCCCTTCCCGAAATAGCCAGCACGGTAGCCAACGCCGTCTTGCAAGCAGCAGCCCGACTAGCCCTCCTCGAATGAGATCCCTACCTCGCCCAAGACGCCAAGGACACCCTACGGCCGCTGCTACGCCAGGATGCTCCACAAGAGCCCCCAGACATCGTATGCCCACCACCACAAATCGAGCGTTTTCCCACCCGCATGTTCCTGACAAGTCAGTACGCAGGCACGGCCGCGCAGATGCTTCCGATCGCCATCAAGCGGGCTGAGTACTTTGCACTCAACCTCTACTGCGGACGCCGACGGGCAGGCGACATTCAAGCATGCCGCGCATGGACGCACTACGATGTTCATTTCACCCTAGTTGTACTATCGACCGACATCGCTATCGATCCCGTGAGGGGCAGCATGATGCGACGACAGACGCTGGAGACGTGGCAGGAGCACATGCGCGCTAAGCGAGTTGCCCTGTCGGGGGTGGGGGGCGCCCTGCGAAACCTGGAGTTCCATTCGTTGGGCCGACGATGCCGGCCCTCCCCCTCTACGTTCGCACGACCGCTTCTGGGGGCTCAAGGCCTTTACGCCGCGCCAAATGGAGCAACTACGCGTTGGAAACGAGCTCTTGGGGGCAATGATAGAACTGTTTGGGGTCCACCTTGTCGTTCGGGCAGCCTGCTGGTTGGAGTATCCTATGCCGGCCAACTGGAGACAAGGTGCTGTGAGTTCTTTCTTTACCCCGTCCCTGCGAGCCGTGATGGCAGCACCAGCGGCCGCGGTTACATACCTTGATCAGTGGGAGCACGGACAGAGAGCGCGCGCACCCACCCGTATCCTCGCGTTGCGCACGCGCACATCACATGAGCGCCTACTCGAGACACCTGGGAGAGGACGCTGCTCACATGGGCGTGGATCATGAGGTCCTGATGGGCTACGATCGCAGTCGTGTCGAATGACGTGGCGCCATAAAGAAGACGTACTCACCAGCTCTATGTCAGGTACTAGCGGATGGTAGTATGGACTCTGTAAACTATGTGCGTGAGACCAGCGACCCAGACGCATTGCCAGACGACATGCGGGACAGAGAAATCGAGCTCCGTGGGTCCTTGTCAGATTTTTACATAGCATTGGGCCCCTATCAGGGCGCCGACGAAAGTTGGGCCCCGGATTTTGTCTCACAGGCCCCTCGGCGGGCCCGTGCAGACCCCGAGGGGCATCGGTTTCAGCCGCGGTCTCCCCCCCATCCCTCCTGTGCCAGGTGTCGTTTGTGATCCCGAGGCGGAGCCCAGGGGCCCAGGGCCCATTGAGACTACAGACGAGCAGGAGTATGCAGCGTTGCGTTCATCGAAGGCACCCCGATCCACGAGCGTGATGCCGACTGTCCTTTCAAGTCAGCGCAGCCTCTGCCCGCGCCCCGCCCCTACCACCCTGCCCCGTGCCCTTCGCAGAGGAAGTTTTAGCCGTGATTGCCCGCGAGCGCTCTGGAGCCCGCGCGCGGCGCAAGCAGAGACTTGCCGCCCGAGCTGCCCTTTGGACCATGCGAGAGGGATTCGGTGCCAATGTTGCCCCCTCCTATCGCGAGTAAACCGTTTTCTGTTCATCGAGTTTGTGTGGGAAGGGTCGGGGGGCAGGCAGGTTGGTAACGCTGTGACAGTGATGCGAGCTATTTAAGCTTTCGTGCGACAGTGGTCTTGTCCTGTGCATGCAGCTGAAGTGTGCTCGGCCGTCGTCGGCCGAGCCGAGGGCCCATCCGTGAGGGGGTGGGGGTGGGGTGGGGAAGGGGGGGGGGGGGGGGGACATAGTGGGCGCCCCGAAAGGAACTCGCGAAGCCCCGCCCCCAAAGCGGCTCTCGCCGAGGCGAGGTCGCCATTTTGCACTTGCACTCTTTCGAGCATGCCGCAAGTATCGATTGACGAACTGGATGGGGGGGCGGAAGTGTCAGCTATCAGGTCGGGTGCGGAGCAGCCAGTCACGTTTGTTCGAGCTGTGGCTCGCGTGTA